TATATTCGACATCATTACCATTTGTTGTTATGAACAACTTCTTTATATATTTTTCATTGATATCGTAAAATATGTACTTTAGACGCGAATATGTTGATTAAATATTGATTTGATTGATTTCGAAAGAATGAGGATGTTATTGAAAATAAATATATCTTTCACCGATCGTGGCATACACATTCACATTATGGATATACATTCCACTATTGCATATATGCTTAGATCTAAGCCTATATGCATGCAACATATAAGCGACATTTTCGTTACATGTATGTTAGGGATTACCACAACTTGTCTTTATGGTAAGATTGGTGCGTAGCATCAATGACACTTGTTTGTGATATCAAAGTTGACATGGCAATTTATAAACAGTTACTGTTCATATCACAGCGACTTCTTTGAGCAGAATTCTATGATGTGATAAAATTGTGCTATACAGGGTGTACCTAAAAGGTCTTTACCAACCGACAAATTTACCTCTGTACGAAATTATTTAGTTTGGGCGCTAGACGGCTCTGATGATACAATAATCGGTTTTTCTTCATAACTTTCGAAACGGCTCTTGAGATTTCACTAAAATTTGGTGCGTTTGTGAAGCTTTATTGGGCAATGAAACCCATGTCATGATTATGATGAATATCCTTCCATGGGGGTAGAACTTTCTTTTTTCAGTGAACAAAAATCTGATACTTTTACGCCAATGAAAAGAAAGGAGTTTTGATAAAATTTGTAGGTATTACGTAGATAGTTCAAAACATGAAAGGTACCCTGCTTGATCAAATTCGATTACACTCATGGTTTCGACAAATTTGTATTTTATAGTGATTCGTAGCATCAGTCAATACCAAAACGATTAAGAGATATTTTATAAAAATTGTTAGAAATGTTTATAATTTCTACGTATAGAAAGATTTATATAACAAAAAAATGTATACAAGCACACTAACCTCAGTACAAAACTTATCAGTCTGGGCGCTAGATAGCTCTGGCTTACTCGGTACAAAAAAAAAACAAAAATAGCGGATAGCACTTTTCAATTTTTTCCATAGTATTTTATCGTTCGTATACCTGAAAATAATGAAAATTTTGAACAATTTTTATGTAATATCTGTCTGTTTTGGTGTTGGCTGATTCTTTGAATAACTAAAATTTAAATTTCATGGTGCCAAACCAAATCTTGTCCGCCATCTTGGAGCAGCCATTTTTTTTAATTTCAACAAAAATTCCATAATGAATTGTCACCGAAATTATGAACACCTGCCAAATTTCAAGTTAATCGGAGTTATGGAATTTTTGTTGAAATTTAAAGAAATGGCTGCTCCAAGATGGCGGACAAGATTTGGTCCGATTCCATTCAAAATTGGTAAGTGGGGGTTTTTGAGGTCAGAGATAATGATTTTTTTGTTAAAATTTATGAATTCAAGATGGCGGCTGACAAATAATTTTTTGTTTTTGTATAAATGACGATAACTCCGTTGTTATCAACACAAAACTATTACTGCGACATATCATCTGTAAGAGAAAAAAAAGTTTTTTGTAACTAAGTCATAGTGAGCTATGACCTACATTTGAAAAACTAAAGTTGGTGCTAATATCTCAAATTCTAGAAGAGTTGGTATAAATTTCATATTTTTTTCGAAATCACTTTGAAAAACTGCCATGAGAATGTGAAATTCCTATTTGAATATTTTCATAAATAAAGAAGTTACGGAGGAGACATTAAAATGATCAAAATCTGTTTTTTGCGTATAAAACAAAAAACGAATAGATTTTATCAGCATATTTTTTCGCATTATAGTTGGCCTTGACAAACTCCACATTTGGTGTCATTTAACCGACCTCGTATCTCTCACCGTTAAAAAGATACCCATAGTGAGCATGGTAAGTGGGACACACTGTATAATATGGATGGAGACTAGGTAAGCCCCAACATTTCGAAATGATTCTGATTGGGGTTATTGAGTCTGGATGGAAGTCTTGAAAACACCTTCATTAAAATTTGGAGTCAAATCGAATTTTTATTGTTTCCCCAAAAACTAAGCTAGATACAAAAATCACACGAAGGGAAAAAAGTTGTTATTTCAATAGTTCGATCTAATAAAAATATGAAATTCAGAAAAACCGGTGGTGTACAATGACATTCACAATGTAAATAGATGAATTTACCCACTGTCACGCCACTGGAAATATTATTTCGAATCTAATTGCACTAGAAGCAGCTCCATATTACTATTAACAAAACCACAACGCTTTATTGAAATTGATGAAAAGACAATTGAGAAATGAATAGAAACAAGATTTTCCATGAACTTACACCCTGTATAGCGATAGTGAAGTCATACATGAAAAAAGTATTTCTAGTCTCATTCCATTCCTAAGTAAAAATCACACTGTATTTATTGGAATGCATATTTTTGCCCAATTCGTACAATAAATTATAACTTACTAATATTGACATTATTTATCAACAATTTTTGCTGTGAACGGTAAAACACTTCACAAAATTGATAGTATATAATAGTGGTATTCCCGATCCCTCGAGAATTCCTTCGTACACTCACGAAATTGACATTACGAATGCAATCCATATCGATTGGACATACAAAACGTCATTTTTCGGCAACCGTCCGGGAAGCGCTCAATTCCCGGACGCTTTTTCTTTGAGAAAATATCACATCGTTGTTTTCACTGATGTAACTATGAAAATCTTGGTATATGACATGAAATCAGTTGGCATTTGGATCTTGAAAGTTTTTGAGTTTACAGTATTACAGGTATTATAGGGTTATTACCTCGGATATTCCTATCAAAAATTGATATTTCAGAAACGAAACATAAAAAATTGAAAAACTTTTTGCATATGATAGTCAACATATTCAAAATAGTGTGAGTAAACGGAACTGTTTTCGAGATATTCAACTGAAACATGTTGAATAATCTTCAACAAAATCTAACACACCCTGTATCTAAATGCAGAGATTATGGGGAGTGTATAATCTCTGCTAAATGGAAGGCAATATTGAACAACTGAATTCTACGAAGGCCTGGAAGGGACACATAAAATAAAAAAAATAAAAACTCTTCAAAATTCTGAGTTATAACTCGGAATTTTACATCAAAATTCCGACTTATATCACGGAATTTTAAAATTCCGTGTTATAACTAGGAATATTGGATGTATAATTCCGAGTTATAACTCGGAATTTTGAAGAGTTTTTATTTTTTTTTATTTCATGCGTCCCTTCCAGGGCTTCGTAGAATTCGCTTGTGAGTTACCTCAGCTTTCATTCAATCAACAGTATCAATCAATCCCTTTCTTTGTGATCAAAAACAAGCTGTCAATTGTTTTCAAAAAGGGGTATAACACAAAATTCTAAAAATTCATATTTCGAACAGAGATAGTTATTAAGAATCAAAATACGTTTTAGAAGCCTACAATAGACTAAAACTATAATAATAGTGCTCGATTTATTTTCCGAAAAAGGAATTTTTTGACCGTGCCTCGTATACACCCTGATTTACTATAATTCATGTGATTATTACTAGACATGTTCATAAGTTCCGATGAATATATTTTCTAGCTTATTTTGTTTCATTTATACTAAAAAAACAGTTTTTTCCTTTGTCAATCCTACCCCGATACGACGTTTTTACGAACTTTGTAGGCTTATACAGTGTCATTCATAAAGTCGGCATCATATGGGAAAAACTTTTATTAATGACTTATTTTGGAATTCGAGATGGACGTTAAGTTTTGCTTCAAAAAAGATGCAAAATGGCCTACTCAATCGGGGTCACGTGACTTTCGCTACATGTCAAAAGTGACATTTTTTCAAATTAATCGCTGAAAGTAGGCTTATTTGTTCAAATATCGAAAAAGTTTACTTGAAAAAGTTGTTTCTATTTCAATTTTACACATGCTTCTAGAATTTGATCTTTCTATTGCAACTTTTAAATTTTGATTTTTTTTTAATTTTTCGAAATTCCTGTAATATTTGAAGAATTGTTAATTTCACGAAAGTACTTCATACCAGTAGCTTTTTCATGCGCTACTTACTTTCAATTACTTATTATCACTGATTATGGACAGAAATATGATTTTCTTCAGAAAATGATAATACCCGCTTCCAAATTCTGTTATGTTTGATGCAAAGTTGATGTATCGTCAAGCATTTAGAAACGAAATTCATTCAAACTGTCTTTTCAGTTCTGAAAAAATAGATTTTAATGAATTTCGTTTCTAAATGCTTGACTCAAACCGGGTGGCTAATCTAGAATTTTGATGTTATGCCTGCATCAAACATAATAGAATTTTGAAGCGGAGATTATCATTTTCTGAAGAAAATAATATTTTTGTCGATAATTAGTGATAATTAGTAATTGAAAGTTAGTAGCATGATGAAGCTACTGGTATGAAGTAGTTTTATCGAATTTACAATTTTTTTAATATTACAGAAATCTCGAAAATTTTTAAAAAATATCGAAATCTAAAAAGTGTAATAGAAAGATAAAATATGGGTCACATATGTGAAATTTAAATAGACAAAACTTTTTCAAGTAATTTTTTCGATATTCGAACAAATAAGCCTACTTTCAGCGATTAATTTGAAAAAATGTCACTTTTGACATGTAGCGAAAGTCACGCGACCCCGATTGAGTAGGTCATTATTCATCTTTTTTGAAGCAAACCTCAACGTCCAACTCGAATTTCAAAATGAGTCATTAAAAAAAGTTTTTCCCATATGATGCCGACTTTATGAATGACACTGTATATGAGAAACTAAACATACAAAACTTTTTGAACTCACATATTTCTCTAATGAGCCATCCCACAATAACATAGTAAAATTTCAGCCAATTCGACCGAGAGCCAATTTACCGTGTTCTCGTCCAAATCCAGTATTTTCCGGACTTGTAACGTAAATTAATATTTTGTTGAAGAACCTATCGTAATACGAGGACCCGGAATACCCCCAATGATTTTTAGAATTTTTACTCACTCTCGTGTTTCGAGCTGGGCTTCCAAATGGCCTTAAAGAAGGCCATCCTAGATGAGGAATATATTATTCACAATGCCAAAATTAAAGCAATACCTGCGCACCGTCACAAAGTAGGCTATGAATGGTTTTTTTCGCGAATATGAGCATATATAAGCATGCATCCGCGTGAAACAGAAGCCAATCGACTAGTGAGCTAAACGAATTCGACCATCTAACAAGTTGATGAGAATGTTGATACTTCTTGGTACGAAGATAAAAAAGGATCGTTGCGGTATCCAACTTAATTCGCTAATTGCGTCGTGAAAATCGGACTTTCCTATGTGTAAAACTACACTATAGACTACTAGATAAATTACTTGATAAAGGTCACGTGTACCACGACATGATCCCGTGATTCTTTTGAAGATGAGCCTCCAATAACAAAGGTTCACAAATCATATTTTGTTTGTAGGGAAAGTTATAAAGTATAATGCATTCCAAATTTGTTTTTTTTGTTTTATTTAATAATGAAAGATCAGAGGATAAGCCACAGATTACTCGTTTGGCCTAGTTTGGACCTCGAAAAGATAGCCCACCACGCTATAGTGTCAATGTCATTTGATAAGGATCGTAAACTGATATTTGGGTATTCCCGATCTCTTGTATTCACTTGGAATTGACATTTTATATAATATGCAATTTATTCTGCTGATGATTGGTTTTGGTGCAGATGAAGATGAAGTTGAGTGGAGCTTGTGTTTGCACAATGAATCCATATTTCTGAAAAAAAAAATGGTCATTTACTTACTACTTACTGTAGTACCAACCCAATCTCTATTCACCGATTTCTTCCGTTTCAGATAAGTGACAAGGGTATTTCGGTCCTCGTGTTTCTTTTCGTAAATCGAGAAAAATTACGTTCTGTATATACAGGGTTATGATAAAGTAATGCACAAAATTCATAAAACGTACAACGATCACTTTTGAAAAAAATGCAAAAACACGTCAAACTGTTTTTTTTATTCCGCATCTTTTGACATAAGTTACAGAAATAACACGTCAAAGTTGTCAAAGTTATGACGTCATCAACAAATTTTTTTAATGGGAAGCTAAGATTTTTATTCTTTACTACCAAGGTTTATATTGCATTTTTTTCACCACTACCTTCATAATGAATAATAAATGAATGAATAATAATAATAATAATAATGAATGAATAATTTATTGATCCTTTCAGACATTTATATGTATAGGACAGGTCAGGGTGGTACTAATAAGTACAAGTATAAGAAAAATTGAGTGTATAAAACAGTGATCACACAGATTACAAACGTATATATAAAAACAAAACAGATTAGAATCTCTATCAGACATAAACTCATCTATGCTGTAGTAGCATTTGGATACTAACAGTGATTTAATGTATTTTTTGAATGAGTGTCCATCCAGGCATTGGATGCTTTCGGGGAGATGGTTGTAGAACATAATATAATTCCACGAGAACTAGTACTTGTTTCAAATTTAGCTGTCTCATGTGAAGGAATACACAAAAAATTTCTCTTTCTGGTCGAGTATGAATGGTACTGGGAATTAGTTTTGAACTTACCTATATTTTCCCTGAAGTATAGCAGGTATTTGGAAATATATATACAGGGGAACGTTAGGATTTCGTAATGAACAAAATAGGGCCTACATGACTCTCTAAGGGGCAAGTTGAACATAGTGCGAATTATTCTTTTTTGAGCAATGAATATTCTGTCACTATCAGCACAATTTCCCCAGAGCACCACATTATATGACATATATGCCATACTATAGTACACTGTTAACAATGACTCTATTGGCATAGATGACTTTATTCGTGAGATTGTGAATCTAGATTTATTGAGCTTTTTGCTAACTGAGTCGGTTTGGTAAGTCCATCTCAAATACTGGTCAACATGGATATCCAAAAATTTCGTACAAGTTTTAGAAACAATCGTCTCACCACCCAAATTAAGTTGAAAGTAGTTCAAGCTAGCATGAAATGTGAAATATATGCATTCTGATTTGGCAATGTTCGAAATCAAACCATTTTGATCACACCAACTATTGAAGCTATTCATGATCCATTTGGTTGACTCAGCAAGCTCCACAAAGGTGCCTGCTGTCACAACTAATGAAGTATCATCTGCAAATAGTGCTAACATCTTAGCATCAATATGCTCAGGCATATCGTTGATAAATAATAAGAATAATAGCGGCCCCAGCACTGAACCCTGTGGAACACCAATGCTCAGTGTCTGTTTACTGGAATAATGGTTCTCCAAAATTTTGATTCATGATCCTTGGCCTAAGAAATCTCTGATGTTCAATAAACCCCTCATATATTCTGTAGTAGTCCATGCTCAAAGTGGAGTGGAATGATCAATAGAGATATATTTTCGATTATAATTGCATAGGTGCATAAAAATTACAAGATGCGTGTTAACTAAAAATTGCAAGTTTATTTTTTCATATTTTGGCGAAAGAGCCCTCCTCCAAAATATGAAAATAACCGAATGCAATTTGTATAAGATAACACGCTTGAATGCAAAATTATTGGTCATATTTATGCACGAACGTAATTCATTGGAATATTTCACGAATAAAGAAATTCTTGAAGAAATGTTGTTTTTTTTCTGATGTTCATATTGTAAAAGAACATTTGTTTCGTGATGGAAACATTACCAATGAAAGTAATATTGCAGAGCACAGTTTTTATGTCTGGAAACACAAATAAATTTCACATACTTAACGGTACTTAGGTCTCCAGATACAAGATTTTTGCTCCTCAATGCATTATATTATTTGTCATCAATAGTGGGTTAATGCCCAATGCTATCAAATTCATAATCAAACTAGTAAATGTCATCACTGACCATTCAATGGAAAATATGTCAAAATTATTGTGTATATAAGTTTTTGGAAATTTTTGTGGGTACGAATCAACCAAAATTAATTGTGGAATTATGCTGAAAATACAAAAATAGACATGGAGATGATAAGGAATGAATTACAATTCTACTCAAAATTCGCTAGACCCCTCATTTTCCAATTGCCTGACGCTAAAGGTAAGTTTCAAGATAGTTCATCTAATTATATTATTGCACTTCTTAACGGCCTATCCTTGTTGTATTCCAGACAGAGTTTTAGCATCGGGATGGGTTAAAAAAATCAGAGATGAACAGATGGGAAGTGAAAAATTGCGGACCGATTACATAAAACTTCTGTTATTCGCTCTGCAACGAAAGAAACTAGTAGGTATTTTTGCTGAAGATCCAGAACATTATGAAAAACTCGAAGAATTTCCACAAGAATTTGATGTAAGTTCTTTTTTATTACAGTTTCTACATTTAAGTATAGTCTGATCTGAAATTTCCTCATTATTTTTTTAACTTGAGGCTCAAGTTTTTACAATTGAAACAAACTTCTCAGAAGAAATGTCTTGAATGATGAATTGAGGTGTTAAATCATATTGGTAATCTAACAAAAAAAATGTCTTCTATCAATGGATCCCTGAGATGATGTCCCAAATTGAATCCCAATATTGCTAATATATATTTTTATATCCACATATTCTCAGTAGAATAAAAAAATCAATCATTTTATGAGGATCGTGTTCTGAAAATAATTTCAATAAAATCTCTGATGTTTACAAAAAAGCTTTGAAATTGAAAGTACTTAATACTTTATATCGTCTACCATTCAACACTTCAAAAAACCAACTTTATTCAATGACTAGCACATTCTCTTCAGAGGAACATTATTCAATGAACACTCTCAAATAACACACAATTATAATAGAAGACGATATAACTACCATCTTGATTCTGCAACCTCTGCATGTATTTGTCCATAATGTTATAATGAATAATAATTGTTACTTTTAAAATATAATGAACCTTTGATAATCATATTTATTAAGAAATGGGTATAGTTATTTAGGAATTGTAGCATAATAATTTCAAATGAATTATCATTATCATTAATAATATTAATAATACTAGTAATAATAATGAATGAGTATACTCAAAGAACATTTTCCATAATAAGAGTTATAAATATATAGTGTATTGAATAAACTAGAGAAAAACCTTACGAAATGTTGAATACAAATATAAATCAATTATTATAATCGAATTACATATTTCATTTCAAGACAAAAGTTATTTTTTTTCTTCATTCATCCATTTTGTTTCCATTCTTTCATAATCATATTTCCTATTTATATTTTCTATGTATAATAATTGATACTTTGGTTCTCAATTTTATTTATTCATTGAACAAATAACTTCCAGACAGAATAGGCTCTGGTATAAGGAAGTACATAATTATATACCTATAGGTAAACATAGCATCATTCAAAATATATCAACAACTGTAAATTGGCAAACAAAGAATAATATTTGTAAAAAAAAAATGGCATGATTACTTTTATCCAGTCCGCTGAGAAATAATCAGTTTTTTTACTTCATTTTTGAATATACCTATATTTCTGCAATTTTTTATATTATCAGGTAGTTTATTGAATTCAGTTAAGGCTGAATGAGTGAATCTTTTTTGTCCGATTAGGGAGCTAGCAGCGTCAAGATGAAACAAGTTATATTGTCTAGTTTCATGATTATGAATTTCAGAATTCCGTATCAAAATAATATTCGACTTCAATTTTTTATTTATGATATTATATGATATTTTGAGAGTTTCAATTCTATATATTTCATCTAAAGAAAACGTATTTGTTATTTCATACAATTGATTGGTTGGTGCATCAAATGGGAGACGATACAATACTTTTAACGATTTTCTATGTAATGTTGATATTTTATTGAAATTATTTTTTGAACAAGATCCCCAAACATTTATTAAATAGTTGATACGACTCAGTATATGAGAGTAGAGAATCATGTTTGCAATTTTAATATCAAGTTTGGGACATCTTCTTAATGCACCAATAATTGGAGATATTTTTTTTGTCAGAACATCAATATCTTTGTCCCACTTCAACCTGTCATCAAACCAAATACCAAGATATTTTATCTGGTCAGTTTGTTTCAAGAGTTCATTTTTTATTTCAAGGTTGTGGTGAATTTTTTGTTTATTTTTTTGGTGAAAAATCATATATTCTGTTTTGTTAGTATTTATCGATAAAAGGTTAGATTGGACCCATTTTTCAAATATTTTCAAGTCTTCATTTATCATATTTTCTAAATCTGAAGGATTCTTGCCTTCATATAAAAGTACTGTATCATCTGCATACATGGTATATTCACACGCTAGACCAATTTCACTGATATTTTGAACATAAAGTAAATATAGTATAGGTCCTAAAACAGAGCCTTGTGGGACACCCTTATTGATTAATAGTTTATTTGACACAGAGTTGTTTGATTTTGTATTGATTGTCCTATTTTGAAGATATGAATTCAAAATATTTCTCACAGTGCCTCTGAGTCCCATTGTTTCTAAGTTTTCTAAAAGTGTTTTATGATCAACTGTGTCAAAAGCCTTTTTGAGATCAATGAAAACAGCTACCACATAATTTCCTGAATCAAGTCCTCTCTGGATTGAATCTATCACTTGTAGTACTGCTGCTTGTGTTCCACTGTTTTCTTGAAAACCAAATTGATTAGAATCAAAGCTATATTTTATTTCATATATAGTATTTGAATATTGATAAGACTCCTTGAAGAGTCTAATATGCAGTTTTTTATTTCAATTGTATAGCACCTAAGTGATTTTATTTTTTTGATATCATTCGGAAATATATCATGTATATAAGAGATAGAACAATTTTAGAATATAAGGGACTGAATATTTATAATTCCTTTGTCGAATAGTTTGATTTGCTTTATATTTCAAAGTTATAACGGTTTTATTATAAATATGGCCTACTTATACTAGTTCGATGAATTCGAATTGAATTTGATTTTTTTAGCTCAATGCCATGGCAAAGAATCTCATTCAGAAGGAACAGTTTGAGAGAATCGACAGGATAAGAAGACAGTTGAGGGGGCAAATAGGTGACTCTCCCCCTTACATGACAGACTGTTCCTCAGATTTCCGGGAATATGTGGCAGCCCAAGATATCCCGGGATTTGGAGTTCACTGCTACTATGCTATATCGAAAGAACCCATCGATACCTGGAGAAAAGCGGACAAAGGCATATTTCCAAAAAGTAGGTGGAAATATTTGGTCGTTATTTGTGGCTTATAATTCGTTCACTATTTTAGTGGCCAAGAGTGCTGTGGATACAAGCAGTTCTGCTCCACCGGGTGTTGCTGGAAAATCTTCTGAACCCTGTATATGTCCTCTTGGTAAATCAATATAAATGACGTGATTGATAATGTCCATCTAATTCCATATTCACTTCCAGGAGCTGGTGAACCAGATCCATCTTGTAAAGCTAGAGTTCATAAAGGCGATTCGAAGATGTAATGAGAATCCATTCGGATACATTCTCCTTAACTAATCATACATTTTCATTGTCCATATAGGAAGAAGAAAAAACGCCCGAAAAGTCTCGGCAAGAATCCGCCTTCACATCCTCTAGGTCACGCCGCTCCTCCCGAAGATAGAGAACCGCCATCTTGGAGTTCGAATCTGATGGAAGTTAAAGATACTGCAGGAAAAGCAGCTGAAATAGCACCAGCAACTAGCACTGGAGCGATACCGAAAAGAAAAGGCGAAAGGCGCTTGAAAATCCCAGTGAAACTAGACGATTCTGATATGGTCGGTGATGATATCAAAGAAATGGAAGGGGCACTAGAAGACTATAAGAGAGGGACGTTGAAACCTAGACGACAGAAAAAACAGGCACGACAAAAGCAACAAATCGTGGAAGATACGAGTGACGATAAAGAAGAAGCAGAAATACCTCCAGTACAAGACCTGGTTCCCTTCGACGAAAACTTCGATGACATCGATCATTCTCAATACCAAGACGAGGTCGACCAAGATAGACGCCTTCTGAAATATTTCAAGGGAAAAATCGCCCAATCTGGTGTTAAGCAACGACTTGCTGAAAGGAATAGGCAAGTGAGAGGGGCGTGTCCTGCAAAGTCTGGCATTCCCTTGACCACTCCTAGGCCATCCGTAATTCCCAAAAGACAAAAATCATCAGAAAAATTGTATGAACACGAAGAACATCTTCCACATCTCACCGAGTCACCTGGAAAAGGCCAACACAAACATCCCACATCGAATCTCAAAGATCCAGAAGTTTACAAATTATTCGATGAAGCCTCAGCATTAGTATCACGAGATGACGATCAAGAATTCCAACAGCTTGAACAATTTTTTGCTGGTGATGAGGGACAGGCAGCAGCATTCGCTGGAATGGATGCTGATTCCGAATATCAACAACTTCTTGAGAAAGAAGAGCAGCAAAAACAGGCTCTGTTTGAAGAACCTCCTGCTCCGATCCAGAAGGGTTCGCCCCAGGCTAATGCCATATTTTCTGAAGCAATGGACACCCTACAAGGGGAAAGTCCATTAGGTCTCTCTGATGATTGGTTTGAAAAAATGGATACTGGAGCAACTGGATTCTTACAAGGTGATATCCCGCAAACTTACAATATTCCAGAAGATTATGGAGGACATGGTCTACCCGAGTTGATTTCTGTTCAGCCGAATATTTCTCCCTATAAACCATATAGACCAGAGCTTATACCTGCTCAACGTGAGCAGATCCATCATGAAACTCCCCCTCAATCTCCGAGAGACGTTTTCCATACTCCATCACCATCTGTTAAACCTACTTCACCAGTATATAGCGGTCCACAGAGTCCAAGTGATCCACTCGGATATGTGACCCCAGAACATTTGAAAATAAAAAGGGCAGAAGGACAACCCATTCCCCAAATTAGGTCACCGCCCTCAGCTCGCCCACCAAGAAGTTCTAGCCCCCCTCCTCAAGCGGCTAGGGGTTCACCTCAAGCTTCGTATCGTTCTCCTCGTGAAATACAGTTACCCCCCATAGGAGATGAACAAGATTCGTTTTTCTTTGATATGGCGATGGAGCAGCCACCAATTTACGCGAGTCCAGAACAGAGTCCAGAGAGGCCGAATATGTTGACAGTTCGAGAGGCTCCTCCCAGGCTTAACCAAGTTATATCCGATATTCTGCCGCAGAATGTTTATGCAGCGGAACCACTTGACGAAGCAAACATGGCTCAAATTCTGGAGGGAGCATCAGATGCAGATATTTTTGGAGAATACCAGCCTGCTTTGGAAGAAGGTGTCGATCCATTGGATGATTTATTTGATGTGGATAATGATTACGTACCTACATACAAGGTTATACGAAAAAAACGGGAACCAGTACCAATGGAGGATATGAGTGATGTTGGATTTTCTTTAGCGAAAACAATACGAGCAACTGAGCGAAGATCCGACACTACATACAAATCACCCGAACAGCAGAAAATGATCGCTCCTACTCGTGCTGAAATTTCCGAACAAGAAAGAAGGTACATTGATTATCTTTTTCCGGAAGATCAGGATATGAATCTCTTGATCAAACGAGTATCAGGAATGGTTGCAGATGTCGAACAGGATTTTCCAGATCCTTATCATGTGATGCCAGCATCCCCAGAATTTCCAGATGTCGGAGATGGTGATTTGAATCAAGAAACTTCTCCAGGATTGGACTACTACTCTTCTCCTGAGCCTAGCCCTGTAGCTGCTCCTCCCCAGGCACCAAGTATCCAAGCCCCCTCAGCTGGCTCAGGGATTCCACAACCTGGACAGCAAACTGCACGGCCAACTGGAATAAGACCACCTGGAGCTCGAGGTATCCCAAGACCTAAAGGTGCCATTCCTAGGCCCTCGGGAGGTATTCCGAGACCATCAGGAGGCATCCCAAGACCATCGGGAGGCATTCCAAGACCTGCTGGAGCTGGGCCAAGACCTACTGGTGCTTTGCCAAGACCTGCTGGGGCTGGGCCAAGACCTGCTGGAGCTGGGTCAAGACCTGCTGAAGCTGAACCAAGACCCGCGGAGCAACAACCCAGTCAAGCTAGACCAGCAGCACCTCGGCAACCAAAATATTCTAAGCAGCCTCAATACTTCCCTGCCACTCAAATGATAACGGATCAATGGCCGCATATGTCGATGGGCTTCCAACGGGACATGAGGAACTATCAGATCGATGAGAACGTTCTCGATGCTAACCGGCAACGAATGAGATCCAGGCAAGTCCTTGTTGGTCCGACTGCTGGAAGGCGACACGACATCCGGAAAAGGTTCCGTCCCACGGATATTATACAAGAGCACCCAGATGAGCCTGATTTGACACCGAGAAAATACGGGCCATGTGGAGTTGTTGCCATGCCTCCTAGAAGTCCTGAGGTGTTTGCTGGTCCTCCAACGTATGAAGAAATGGTGGCCTCATATATCCCGCCTATGTATGTATCACCCGGAGATGGAATTTTGGAAGTAACACCCCCTTTCATCGATGTGGAAGAAGATCGGGAACTCAAGAGGGAATTGTTGTACGATGGTGAGTAAACGTATTGAAAATTGAAGAAGAACTCCTTCTGCTCGTATTCTGATGGATAATGTACACTTTTTTGTAGCAGGACTTTGACAGTTCGAAGGGGACATTTTTTCAAGATGGAAATCTTTCATAAACATATATGCTTGGAGCTTCGTTTCCGATGTACAGGGTTTCGAAGGTTGCACGACCCCAAAAGTGTATCATCTTATCAAGAATGCTCGATAGATCAATTGCTTAAAGTCCATCCCAAAAACTTGGTTTTCTGTTTCGGGCCAGGAGCTATCTCACTTCCAGTCAGCTGCTTATGATCTATAAGGCACAGATCCGACCTGTTCTGGAATACTGTTCCCATATTTGGAGTGCAGCACCCAAACATACCCTGAAACTGTTGGATTCTGTCTAAACAAGGGCAATTCGTCTCGTGGGTGATGCCTCGCTCACAAACTCACTCACTTCTCTGGAACACCGTAGAAAAGTTGGATATCTGGCTCTATTGTATAGATATTTTCATGGACGATGCTCTTCTGATATACCAACAATTGTTTCTCCCTTGGCAGTCTCAGCGACTTCGCACTTCTTCGTGGTCACTTTGGAGACCTGCAGAAAGAACATCTCTTTCCAAAGAATCGTTCATCCAACGAACAGCGAGGATGTGGAACACATTGCCAAGATAGGTGTTTCCCGAGGCATATAACCTCCAGAAATTCAAGAAGAACACCAATTCCTACCTTATTTCCCCTGGTTCTCACGATGTTCCCTGAACATTACAGGATATCCTTTTTCGTGGGAACCAGAGAGTAAGAAAAAAAATATTGCGTTCTCAAAGTGTACCAGGTGTACCTCATGTTAATTCATTATTTCGAAAAATGTAGGAGCAAACGAAAAACAAGAAAAATTTCAAACTTTGAAACCCTGTATATCAAAAACGAAGCTCGTACGCATATATGTTTACGAAAGGTTCTCATCTCAAGAAAATGTGTTCTTCAAGCTGTTTCAATCCTGATACAAAATACGGACTCGAAAAATAAAATTTCCATTAAAAGTAAATTATCTTTGGCATTTATCTTGAAAATTCAAGGGAGAATTGATGTTTCATTTGAAACAGAGGCGGTACCCAAAAAAGTTCGAGAAGGTTAACTTGGGTACGATCCTACGTTCGATAGCCCCAAATATTTCGTTGCCAAAGTGATAGGTGTGATGAATATTAATTCATTATTTTCACTCTCACCAGTTGGCGCTACTAGAACATGAGGTCAATGTCAAAGTCAAAAATCCCCAAATTTTGCCGGATAGCCCTAAAAGCTATGGTATGTTTTATCGAGAATATTCGAAAAAAATCATATAGAATATTTGAACAGATAGAAAACCTCAAGTTAAAGACGTGAGTCGCCTTACGTTTTTTTAATCTTAATTTGGATCTTCACGATCAATTCTTACATTGACGGAGAATAAGATACCATAGCAAAAGGCCGAATGACACGAAAATAAGAAGTATATATATCAGCTCTACCAACCCTGACCTTATGTTTCGGTTAGCCCTCATTGGAAAAACACAAAAAATCTTGAACTTGGAAACCTTGTATATTGGAAACGAGCTCCCACGTATATATGTTCACATAGAACTTTCATCTTGAACATTGTCTCCTCTCAGCTGTTGAAGTCCTGCTACAAAAAACTGACTCACCCTATATGATTTTTCTGATTATAGAGACGAAAGAACGCGATCCAATGGATATGAAGCATTATGGTCGCATGCATGGGAGGCGACAAACAGAGAATGAACAATTAATGTCAGAAATGGAGCAATATCTTGACTCTGCTCCCGATCCAATCCAGAGACGTGTAGTTCCTAGACAACCTACACCTAGTCCTAGGCCAACTCTAGAACAACAGGATACACCTGAACAACCGGCCGCAGAACTATATATAGCGACACCAACTCCAATGGGAGAAAGAAGACGAAGAGATGGTCAAAGGAAACGATCCAGACTTCCTCCAGGACTGAGGACCAGGCGTATAGATTTCGACGAGAGGGATCCAGATATTGTAACAGAAACAGATAAGTACATTGAGGAGAAGATGGCTCAACATCAAATCGTTCTTACACCTCCTGAACCCGCATCAGTGTCACCTATCCAGTATGGCATACTCGATGAACAAATACCTCCTGATGTGAGACTACCTCCTCCTATACGAGCTCCTGCTCACGTTGAGGGTTGGAGAACGCCTCCTTGGTTATCAAGAAGACCAAAACCTCCTCCTCCATTCCAAGCCAAGCTACGTCCTGTTGATCGAAACCAATGGTTCTTCCAAACGGAAGCATCACCTGAGTTTCCCGCTAGTCCTCCCGGTAGTCCTGGTCTTCATGCTTACGATCTTGGTACGCCCGACATGTTCCAAGGAGGAGGACAAATGGGAGGACTATTCTTCGATGATCCCAATGAACTACCTCCATTACCCAATCTTGGTCCTTCCCCTGAACAGAACATTATTCCATGTGGATCGCCAATTCTCGCGCCTGTTGGAGCTATGCCAAACATCGGACTTCCACCAAGTCCTAGAGAAATGAGAACTCCACAGAGAAGAGTGTCACCTGCTGCACAACAGAGAAGAGTGTCACCTGCTGCACAACAGAGACCAGTGTCACCAGCTACACCAAAGAGGAGTGTGTCGCCGTGTACTCCACCTGTTGATGCTGTTACTCCGTTGGGTTCATTTAGCGGAAACTTGCTTACTCCATCGCCAGATGCTCATATGAAGACACCAGTTACATCAGCTCGTAAGATTTTTCAAGCAGCAGGTGTAGAGGAGTCGCCTTTGAGGTATAATCCACTAGACTACCCATTAGCCATGGAAGAGATGAAACAGAGAGTTGTAGAAGCAGAGGGTAGAAGAGGCATCAGGACGATGAGAGAACAAGCTGCTCTTCCACGTAAAAGATTGAATTTTCAATATACACTCACCTGAAAGAAACGGCCAGAAGATAATTTTCTCAAATTAATCGGCCTGATATTTTTCAATTCTCGTTTGATTTTGGTGAATTTTAGTTGGCTCAATCGATTATACAGAGGGAAACGAAAGGTACTATTCCAGCCTTAACACTTTAACGTCCTGTGGCAAAAGTGAAGTAACCTAGCTTCAGATTAAAGTGTGATCCATTCCCAACAAATGTTCTTTTAGTCAATATCTTCTTTTTGAGAGCAGATACAAGTGTTTGGTGAATGTAGGTATGGATTTTCATGAACAATAAGTCAGAACCCACATGATGTTATCGATCGTCCCCTTTTTCCAAGCCCCCCCCCCCGTCAAAACTCTGATTACAAAATGCAAACAAAAATGAGAACAAGCATTCGAGTTTATCGAATTTTCCAAGGAGTCTTCAGGAATTGCCTCGAATTCGTATTGAAGTGCCAATCGAAGCTCTTGAAAAGTCTCTGGCAGTGCGAACGAAGACGAATGCGCTTCTGGAGTTCATCTCAGGAATGCTTTTGAGGTTCTGAATTATTTTTGATGGAGATTAAAAAAAAACGATATTTCTGAAACCACCTGTATCTTCTCTCGAAAATAAGATATTGACATTGTGAGCATTAACCAAACTAGACGTATCTCTGGACTTATAACATAAGAGCAACGTAGAATTATGTCAAATTCATTAATTTACTACAAAATACTGAGAAATTACATCATTCATCTCATGGCATGTGCCATCTATGTAGACCCACAAGACTAAAAATATTTTTAAACTTCAATTTTCGTTGAGGTTGTGTGACAACTTCAATAAATATTGCAGCAACGTAGACATTTATTGTACACCATCAATTCAGTTCAAAACTATTATCAGAAAACACTTCTTCGTTTGATGTATTTATATTGCTATTCCAAGACAATGTCAGTCATTTCATACTTCTTGATCATATTTTGGTTATATCTGTCAGAGGATGCAGTATTGGGCTTCAGCCTGTTTGCATCCCATTGTTATTGAATAAATAAATGAATAAATAAATAAATAAATGAATGAACAACCAATGTGTTGAGAAGGGATCAAACTTCAATCTAAAACATAATGGAGCTGAGTTCAACCACTCACTTTTGCCACAGGGCTTTAAGTAGTTGAATATGAAAGAGTAACTTTTGTTATTCTTTCTACAACAAGGTGTCCCAGAACAACGTACCATAAATTCGACAGGGTGATCTAGAGACCAAAATAGGCCGATTGAAATCAACTTACCTCTATACGAAAATGCACCGTTGAGGCGTGATAGGGCGATGAAGAACAATGTTATCTCAAGATTTTTTTTTAACATTTCTGAATCCTTGAAAGGAACAGGGAGTTAGGTATTTCACATTCTCTCTGATACAAAGTAATGCAGATTTTTTTGGAGTACTGCACTGAACACATTTTGATGTTTCAGTGGATGACAAAATCAATTATCTCACTTTCTGCAAACTACAGAGTTTTTATAATTTATTTTGTTTTTCGAGATGTCTAACAAAATTCATTTTGATGATCCTCCATACTTGTTTATGATTATGACGATTATCATGTGTAACAAGTTTTAACCCCATATCTGTTGAGTTATTGATCACAATATTATCATTATTATTACAATAATTATGTTTAAGAACTTCTTCAGAATATGAGAATGATGTTGGTCATCTTCAAATTTATCAATTCTCGAATGAAGATTTTTCATCAGAAATCCTGAACAGAAATTTGGAAATGACCAGTTTCTGAATCATATGATGAAGATCTTGCGAATTGGTGAACATGATTATTGTGGTCGATAACTGAACACAAATGAGGTCATAAACGAGTAGTATGGAGAAGCACTAAAATTACTTTTATTATTATATCAAACTATACAGTGTGTCCCTAGACCAGTGGGACAGTTGAATATCTCGTGAACCAATAAGAATTTTCGAAATATTATAATTCCACATCATATCGCATCATGAGTGCTAACTTCAGGAATTACTAAATTTTATACGAGGGGTGCAAGAAAGGCTCACAAAATCGAACATCAATGTTTTCAAATGGAACACCCCATATATTTCAACATATCTGAATTCTCATTGCTTTAGGCTAATTATCAGTTTTTTTTTTTTTTGAAAATCCGACAAGGCGTTGCCAAGTAATACCAGTATTTCATGAAATAATAATAATAATAATAATAATAGTGTCTTTATTAACCAACAGATACGAACAATGTAGACTAATTGTCAAAAGAAAATACTAATTCAAGTACAAAATGGTGCTGGTTAAAAGGCGCAAGATCAGTTAAACTGTTCTTCCTCAAGGGCCCTTGTAATAAATTAAAGTAGTATTTGACCTCATTTCCTGGCAAGATCCCCTCTGATAATAATGATAAAAATAAGAATAATAAATAATATTATTAACAATCATAATAAATTTTTGAACTAAAAATAATATTAATAATTATATAATATATATAAATAATAATATACCTATATAATTGATGAAAATTATGGAGTTCCTAAAAAGCATAAGAGAAACAAAAATATTGATAACGAAATCAGATATATATAAAAATATATATATATATTTCTATTATTTAATTTTGATTATTTCATTTCTATAGTTAACTCGCAGTTCCCTGAAACATTGTTTAAATTATCTGCTTCGGCTTTGATCGTGAAAGAGCATTTCAAAAACTGTCTTTTTGAATTTTGTCAAGGACATCGTTTTGTAATCTGTTGGGAGGTTATTGTAATGGCAGGATATATTATATTGGAAGGATCTCTGAAAAAGTGATGTTCTATGTTGAGGAACTGTTAAATGTTCCCGCCTCCGGATATTAATGTTGTGTACATCCGATCGAAATCTAATTTTGTTTGTTAGGTATGAAGGAGTACCATTCTTAATGATTTTGTGAAACAGTGTAAGGCAGTGCAATCTCCGTCTGTTTGCCATATTCAACCATCGATTAGTAACCAAAGTATGGCTAACCGGATCAAATTTTCGAATTCCATGAATTAATCTTAGACAAGAATTTTGGAGTTTTTGTAATCTCGTACTATCCGCACCAGTCAGGGCCATAAACATAATCACAATAATTTACTTGCGATAGAATTAATGAGTCACATAAGGAACTTTTCAGTTTATTGGTCATTAGGTGCCTATACGGATACAATATCTTCAGTTTTGCATATGCTTTCTTGAGTATCATTGAAATATGTTTAGTAAATCTCAACTTATTGTCTATAATCACTCCAAGATTCTTATCTTCAGAGGTAATTTTCAAGGGTACATCATCAATTTTGATAGACAAGTAATTTGGAGATATGTCACCAAAGGATATAACTGACGACTTTGTTGTGTTGATTTCTAAATCATGCTTCTTCGACAAATCTATAATAGATGCCAAGTCTTTATTGATGTCATCTTGAGATTCTGCTGCATCATATTTGTTGAAGAAATTATATAATTGGGTGTCATCGGCGTACATATGAATATCTAATGTTTTCAAAGATGAGTGAAAATTGCATGTATAAATAGTATATAGAAGTGGGCCCAGAATAGATCCTTGAGGAACACCTCTCAAAATGGTGCCTTCGTTCGATATTTTGCCCTGATATATCACTCTCTGTGACCGCCCTTCGAAATATTTCCGAAATAATTTTATAGCTGGGTTACTTAATCCTAAAAAATGGAGAATAGCGAACAGTATCTCATGATTAATCATATCGAAAGCTCTGCTGAAATCTAGCAGGATCAAGACACCACATTTTTTTCTATCAAGTTCAGAGATTATATCATCAGTTATGTTCAGTAGTGCTGTACCACAACTATGTCCAGGTCTGAAACCTGATTGATGTGGTGGTAGAAGAGAAAATGTATCTAAATGTACTCTCAGCTGATTTTCCATGGCTCGCTCTAGAATTTTTGACAAAGTGGGCAAAACTGTTACTGGGCGTAGATCTTTCAACTCTGAGGGGCAGTCAATTTTCGGAATCGGTATCACCCTACCTTCTTTCCATTGGCTTGGATATTCAGATTTTGTCAAGCAAAAATTTACAATGTGCGTAAGGTAAGGCAATATGAAGGGACAGAGGAAACTAATGAGTGTGATATTTATCTCATCCAATCCACTTGCTTTTGTTTTGGTACGCAGTATATAACTTGCTACAACTTGTTCGGAAATTGGTTCAAATTTGAATTCATCAGCAGCAAATTCAATTTTTCGATTATTTTTATAATAATTTGTAAGTTCATAATCAGGATGATTAGAATTGCCATTCGTGGTGAGAAAATATGCATTTATGTCTTCTGCATTTGTATCTAAACTCTGATCGTTATTTTTGGATTTAACTATATTGAGCTTTCTTAAAATTGACCATTTCTCTTTATTATTACCTAACCGCAGTTTTTGTTCTAAAAACACTTTTTTTTTCAGTTCTTATGGCCTGAGTCGTATAGTTTCTTAGATCCTTATAGTAGTTCCAACAACTAATTGTACGTTTCTTACGATATTTAGATAATGCCTTATTACGCAGATTTATAAGAATTTTAATGTTCTCAGTTATCCACGGACTCCATGCTTTCGTAATCCTCACGGTTTTGAGTGGAGCATGTGTATCAAAAGTATTTTTAATTTTTTCATTCAAGAAGTTCACTTTTCCATCTATTTCATCGTAATTGTATAGATGGTCCCAGTTTTGTGTATTAACATCATTTTCAAAGTTGTTTAGATCGAATCGGGAGAAATCTCTATAGGATATTATTGTTGCAGGACTTTTTGGTATGCTTAGATTTAAAGTACATTGTACTAAGCAATGGTCCGAAATATTTGCGACATTACTGACGTCCTTACTTAATGGTAATAGTTCCGAATTCAGAATAATAAAATCAATTAGAGTACGCGAGTTCGGAGTTATTCGGGTAGGTTCTGATATGATTTGTTTTAGGTTGAG